ACTCCTAAGATACGAGTACACAAAAATTACCTCATTTTAAAAATTGCAGTTGGACTTTCAAATGTGCAACTAAGGGGGGGGAGGAAGAGGAAATGTTTACAGAAGCTTTTAACATTTCTTAGTCTAGCCTTAAAATGGGAAGATCTTTTGAATGCTAAGAAGTAAACTTGCCACGAGTGGGCAATGTGTAATTACTGAAAACTAATCTGGGGGAAGAAAAAAAAAAAAAAGAAAAAAGCTTTATTGCTTTTAATTGAAGCAAAGTTCAGCATAAACACGATCTGTTAAAAGACAAAAAAAGAAACGAAACCAAGGCAGCTGGTTTTTGGGTAAAAACTCAACTTGTACAAAATAGGATGTCACCTTCTGAGCTCTTAAGACTCATTTCTGGTTTAATGATGGATTTGCCCAGCTTCTCGTTAGGTAAATTGTCCAGGGAGGGTCTCCAGTAAGTCAGAGTCTCTAACACAGGTGCAGTGTTGCTTTTGCTGGGCAGTACTTTCTTATTACTTTGTCCTTGATCTGTTAGAACAGCCGCTGTGCAGTGGTGACAGTGCTGAAGTCAGTGCTCGAGAAATTCACCTGAAGCATTTAACCTTGCCAAACTATTGGGTGGGTGGGGAAGGGGGGGGGATGGTGTGAAGGGAACTGTACTAATTAGTTTTCTGAATAAATTTGCCTCTGTAAAATGCTAGCATCCATTGGAGTGGGGGTTAGCCACCTTCAGGCAGGCAGTGCTGGTTCTGAGATGCTGCTGCGTGAATCATGTATACAGAACTGCTGGATTTCACTGACCAATAATAGAAGTATTTATCTGGCTTTAAAAAAGAAAAAAAAAAAAAAAAAATCCTAACAGCGTGTGTTGACCAAAAAAAACCTCCTTTTAGAAATGCCAAATTGTACCCTGTGATGGGATGCTTCAATATCAGAGGTCAGATGGTGGAGGGGAAGCGTTCCCCGCTTTCATTGCGTCCGCAGTGCAGCTCAGCCATGCCCTTGCCTCAAGGTGACCCACGCCAGAGAAGGGACGAGCAGCAACTTCTGTGGCTTTGAGTTGGGTTGGGACCACTGCAACACGTAGGAAAAGCCTGCAGGTTGCACCCCCAGCCTGGTTTGCAGGAGATGGAGGCTCCTGAGCTCTTGGGGATGCGCGTGAGCAGCCACCGGCCGCTATTCGGTGTAGGAATCACTTCCAAACAGATGTATACATTTGTAAATTGAAAACTAGGAATTTATTCTGCAATTCTGGCCGTCATATTCTGTTCAAAGACAGGAACGTGGATCCTTTTACCAAGTAAAAAACAAAACAAAATTAAAAGAGGCTCGTTTAAAATGTACCTAAAATTTTAGGAAACCGTGCACCCTTTTATCGATTTGTATAAAGGCTTTAGTGGGGGGGGGGAGAAAAAAAAAAGAAAAAAAAAAGAAAAAAAATCTGTTAAACTCTTTTGTATTCTGGGGTGTATCTATTTTTATTCTGTTGGAAACCTATTTAAAGTGGCAGGTGAGTGAGTGCTTGCGTGCAGAGTGGAAGACTTGTTGCAATCACCTCCTTTCGTGGTACAGCTGAACGACCTCGTGACAGCAGTGAGTTGAATTGTCATGAAAGCTGCTGTTGGGCCTGTGTGCTGTTTCTAATGTACTTTTAATTGGAATAAAGAACACATACCGACTGATGCTTCAGCTTGTTTCTTAATGCCTTCTTGTTGTTGAAGAGCTGGAGGGAAGGAGCGGCCCAGACAGGAGCACTGATCCATTTTCTATTCAGGAACATCTCAAGGTGATGTTTCACCTCCTGCTCCTACAGGGAACAGTTTGCAAAGGGCAGAGGGGGAGAACTGGGGCAGCAGCTTCTTCCTGCACTGCATTTGCCTAGATGGAGACTCGATGTACTTTTCTGTAGAAAAATACACTTCTTTGGAGACACTGCAGTCCACGGGGGTTGGTTGGAGGGCTGAGCTGTCTGATCCAGGCCATCTCTAGAGCATTCACTTTCAGTTTGGTGAAGAAGAGGCCAAGCCTCCAGCAAATAGAAATCATTGCCAGTTCAAATTTTAGCTGAGAAGGTTTTATTGATTTTACCATCGCACTGTATGAAAATACTCTGACAGCAGAAGTGACATCACATACACAGACCAGGCACCAGTCCCTGCGTGCTAACAGTGCTGTGCTGTTCTTCTACCACCCACATCCGTGGTCCTGAGCTGTCCACGTTCTCAAGGCTGCTTCAAATACCATAACAGAGTGGCTGTGAAAGGTCTGATGAAAGCATCCCAGGTCTCATGCTCTCCCTGAAGATGCTGGCATTGCTACAGCTGGCCTACCAACAGCTGCAGCAGAGACCTGGACCCCTGAACACTGACTTTGGAATGAAATTCAACATTCATGGTCAATACCAGAATGAATTTTCTACTGTTATTGCTCTTGTGAGCTGCTCTGGCAATTCTGCTGAGCTGAAAAGCCTGGGTTTTGCCTCATGATATTATAAAATGAGCGTAGATGTGTGGCAAGCTGTCCTTTTTTTTTAGCACGAACATATTAAGTTGCCCTACTCACAATTTTTGACAAAACAACTCTGCAACAGCCATGTTGGTTCAATAAAACAAAACTGCTAGGTGAGACAATTCCTCTTTCAAAGCCAATTAATACAGAATTATAAGCAAAAAAAAAAAACACCAAACCTCCCACAGCAGCACTTGCTGGGCATGAGGACTAACTCATTTCAGCATAAAAGCATTAAATGAACTATTTTGCAGCATCCCACCTTGACTGTCCAGCTCCTGTTAACTACCAGTTGTTCAAACAAGAGAAAAACTGAGGAGAAAATTCCACTGCTCACCAATGCAACCACAATCCAGCTGAGTTTTACAGAGCAAAACAGTTCTGCTTCTGTCTTCCCGAATGCGTGATCCCCTCTGGGAAGTGGCACCTTCAGAGAAGAGGACACAGAAGAAGGTTCCTGCTCCAAGAACAGAACAAACATCTAAGAAGGAAATTGTTAATTTCAAAAACCAAAGTTGGTGGCACTCAGGAAGGAACTTGTGGATAAAAGAAACTGTCCATGCAGTCAGTCTAGGTGGATACACTTGAAGTAGCACTTCAACACGTGCTTTTGGTAACCACGAGTCTGCTTTAAGGGAACTTTTAGAAAGATGAAGAGGACCAGGCTTCTCCAGTGCTCAGCCCATGCTTACAGGTCGGCATCCTGCTGCTCGGCCTGCCGGATGCACAGCACAGATTTGTGGGGGATCCCACACTCCTGCAAGGACCTGCTGAGGTCATGGAAGCTCCGTCTGGGCACCTCCGTGGTTTCAATGCTGCAGCATTCGTATTTGGCAGCTGTTTGGTGTTCTGCTATAGCAAGGACTGTCTGGAGACTGTCTGTGGGCTTGAAGTGATGTTCAAATCGTTGACCAGAGGGAGACCGAATAGCAAGCAGCAAACGTGGTTCTTTCTGCAGCGGTTCTTCCAAACTGAGAGTTGATAACAAAGAGCTCTCTTGCCTCATTTTCCTTCCTGGCTTCTCAGGAGCACAAAAGGCTTCTTCATTAGGGACATGGCTTTCTGGTGACCTGCAGGCAGACCTTTGCTCTCCAGAAGGAACTGCAGTTTTTGGAGCATCCTTCTGTCCCCAGCTCGCATCCAGATGGCTGCTCTGCTCTGTTTTACCTTCCACACCCTTTCGGCCAATGGAGGGGAGCACTCTGTATTTGTTCAGGGAGGACGAGCTCCGTAACGGCACCTGCTGCAGGAGCTCAGGAATCTCTTCTGGGGATATCTGGCCAGAGGGGAACACTGCTTTTATAGATAATGCTCTCCGGCTGCTCTGTAAGTCATGTGGAGCTGCTGGCGATGATGGCACTGCACAAGGATAGGTGTCTGTGGTCCCAGAGTAATTGAAGGTCGACCTCGTGCGACCCTTGGCAGATTTTGGCCGGGTCATGTGCATGGTGATGGCGTTTGGCTGAAAGACAGGGACCGCCGTGCTTGAAGGGAAGTAGCAGCAAAGTGGTACTGGGTTCAGAAGAGCTTCTGTGGCCATTGCTTCCCAAAACACCTGCAGTTGGGAAAGCAGAATGAAAAGTTACAGAAAACGGCCTAAAATGGCCTTAATTTCCCTGCTGATTTCGTGCTGCATATCATCTAATAGCAAAGATCTGGCGTGTCGCTGTCTGAATCCTGTGGCTCAATGCTGGCAGCCAGAGCCAATGGGATACACACCAATGTAGGTGCACAAATTGCTTACAGCTGACTGCTCTCCCCAAAATAAGCAGAAGGAATGGAACAACCACTCAGTGCCCATTCCAGGCAGGGCTCTGAGGAGCAGCAGAGCACACACTCCTCCACCCAGCTGCAGTAACACGGGGGCGGGAGGTGTTTGATTTACTCCTGCTAACAAACCTGCTCCAAGGCAACAAAGAGGAAATCCTGAATGCATCGCAGCACTTATATATGCACTTATATAAACGTTTAGATACATGGTTACACCCCACACAACCAAAATGCCCTCAGCCACCACAATGAGACACCTCCAAGTGAGGGTCTCCAGCCCCCCCAGCACAGAGCAGTTTAACTTTGGGTACCCGAACTGCTCCACGGGGTTGGGACAGAGCACTGCAGCACCCACACGGGCCCAAAGTGCTGTGCCTCGTGTCTTGGGGTGGCAGTGGGCCCCGTTTTTGGGGTGAGCCCCAGCCCCACAGTGCAGCAGAGCCTCTAGTGCCCCAGCCCCAAGCTGAGCCCAGTCCAGATCGTCAGCCAGTCCCCAGCTGAGCCCAGTCCTGCCCCCACAGCCAGGCCCCAGCCCCACAGCCCGCCCCAGTCCCCAGCCCCACGGCCCGGCCCCGCCGTCCTCACACCTGCCACCCCAGGGCCGCCCGCGCCCGCCGGTAAACACAGCCGCGTTGCCACGGCGACCGCCCCACTTCCGGCTACCACCGAGAGGAGCGGCCGCGCTGGGCAGAGCGCCCCCTTGCCGCGGTCCTCCGAGCGCAATATCATAGCTTAAGCTCACCCAAACTTTGCTGTTTTAACCCCAAAAAGTGACCTGAGCCTTTTGTTTTGCTCAGGATAAGTGTTTAAAGCCACACGGCCCCACTCCAGCAACCGCTGGGTAGAACTGGACGGATAAACCCCAAACCCATCCGTTGGGATGAGAGCTCCTGCCCTGCACACTATGGTTTGTATGCAGGGGGGGTGAGACCCCAGCCTCACCGGCACCGACCACCGTAACCCAGCGCCTCCACAAAAGGCCCCGACCCCCCTGGTGTGGGGCAGGGTGGGATCAGAGCAGCCTCCAGCCTCACCCCCCCTCGCTGTGCACACAAAGCACCATTTTCTTACTGATTTCCTCCCTTGGAAGCAGGGTTAATTACCAAGGGTGGAGCAGTGCCTATGAATGCAGGCAGAGCTTGCTGTCTGTTTGCTTTGGGCTGCCTGGCTCGGCAGTGATAGCAGCCTTTGTGTGTTATCTCCTCAGGTGCTCTGCTTCTCTTTGCATCACGTCGTGGCTGTAGTGATTCAATAACCTGTGCTCCAAAGGCATCCCCGACGGGGCTCCCGTGGCTTCCAGCCTGCTTTGACCACGCTTTCATGTTGCAGAGCTTTGAGGAGCCTCAGGCTCTCCCATGTGCTGGTTGTACCAGATTTGGGGAAGATTGCATGGGAAAGACTGAAGAGCAACCAACTGAAGGGCTGCAGAGCACAAGCTGCTAACAGCACCCATTAGCTACACTGCCAAGGCTGGAACACTGAGTCTGTAGCTAGAGCCTCCACCTGACCAGAAATCCACTTTAGGGCACAAACCACTTGTGTCCCAACCCCACAGCAAGCAAGGTTTCATGGTTTTGTGCAAGGGGTGAGGATGGGGCACTGACAAGGAGCAGGGGGAGGACCTCTCCCCTTTCTATCCATATAAAGCAAACCCGCCAAGCCCCAAAGCTGCAAGGAGAGGAGGGTGGGATTTTATTGCCCCCATTTCATCATCAGCCCCAGGTGCTGCTTGCTGTCCTCTCCCTCCATTGTGAAGATGAGGAATCTCCTGCTCGCCTTGCTGCTGGCTTACGGTGAGTCGGTCGGTTGGTGAGGCTGGGGTCTCACCCCCCCCCCTGCATACAAACCATACAAACTCATGGGCTTTGAGTGTCTTTTGTCCGAGCTTTGCCATTTCCCTGCCATGCTCAGTGTGGTTATGGGGGGTTGGGTGGTGGGCCGTGCTGGTGGCACTCTGTCCCCCCATCCCTCTCTGCAGGGCTGCCTCCGGCACGTGGCAGCATATTGGAGCTGGAACGCATGATCAGAGTGACCACAGGGAAGAGTGCCTTGCTGTCCTATAGCTGGTATGGCTGTTTCTGCGGCATCGGGGGCAGAGGGACCCCAGTGGACCCCACTGACACGTGAGTACCTGGAAAATCATGCTGCTGCTGGGCCACGTGCTCCTCCTGGTCACCTCATGTTTGGGGCTGGCGTTTCCCTCACCTCTGACACATCTCCTGCAGCTGCTGCCATGCCCATGACTGCTGCTACAGGCAGCTGCGAGAAAACAGCTGCAGCCCCCTGATAACCCTGTACCAATTCCATGTCACCGATGGGGACATCACCTGTGGTGAGTGCCAGTGAGATTGCATGGCGGTGAGAGCATGGGGATGGCACAGCAGCACTGGGGCAGAGCATCACGTTTGTCCCCTGCAGGTGATGAGCAAAGCTGGTGCAAGAGAGAGACCTGCCTGTGTGACAGGGCCATGGCTTCGTGCTTTGCCAGCGCTCTGCCTTCCTACAATGCGTCCTACCGCTTCTACTTCAAGCTGAGGTGCAGAGGGAGCAAGCTTCAGTGCTGAAATCTGCACACGTCTGCCGGTTTTGAGTGCCTTTCCTCGTTGCTGTGGGAAGGACAGGGTGATGTGGGTGCTGAGAGGGGCTGCAGCCCTCCTCCTGGTGAGGCGATGTGCAGGGTGAGCAGGGCACATGAGATGGCTGGAGATCCCCAGCTCCCCAAAAGCGAGTCCTTGTCCCTTCCTCCTCTTTTTTCTCTACTGATTTTGTTTTCTAGCAAAAAGGAACTGAATAAACCGTGTGAAAAATGCTCTGTGGTGTTTTGCTGTTGGACCACTGAGAGATGGGTCTGTCCCACGCTCAATTGCCAGCATCAAGAAATGGGGATAAATACATGCCACCAAGTAAAACTCCCTGGGGTTTGTCAACAAAACTTCCCTGCAGCGAGCCTGGGGTTGGTGGCTTCTCCTAACATCCCCCTCCTCCTTCTCTGAACTCACTCCCAGAGCTAACATGCACAGCAAACTTCATATTTTGATGGTCATCAAGGGGATCATCCCTTTCTACTGCAGTCTGTCAGGAAAGCCATTTTTTGCCAGTTTTCAAGGATTGCCTGCCCCCTTTGAGCCCTTTTTAGGGCTTTGATTTACACTTTCTGAATCAGGGCTGGTTATCCCACAGTACAGCACCAGCAGGGCTGGTAAAGCAGAGGAAAACACCCCTGAGCTGCGAGGGCTGGGGCAGAGTGTATTGCCTCCCTCCTGCACTGGAAGTGACACCGCTTTGCTGTCATCACTGCTGGCATGGATAGGGGTGGGGGGATTTCCTGAATTCACGTTAAGGGGAAGGATGGTGCCTTCTCCTTTCTAGAAAAGCCCCACTTGCAGAACTGGATGAGTTGAGTGTTCACAGAAGGTTTGTGGAAGTGAAAGCAAGCCCTATATAAATGGATCCATGCCAACCACACATCTATGATCAGCAGAGGCTTTCCAGAGGTGAGCAGGGATGGAGAAACACCTTCCTTCCTTTCCTACCTTAACCATAACCTGTACTGCAAGCAGGGATGGAGGCACAGGCAGAGAAATCAGTGCTGAGCAGCAGAGGAAAGGCAGTCTGAGACACCAGTCCAGAGCTGTGTCCCCTCAAGGGCTTCAGCTTTTCCTGCTTTCTCTATATTCTGCTTTTTTTCCTGCTCTCCACCACCTGCTCCCCTTTGCTGTTCCATACCTGACATCCAAAATGCAGCATCTGTTGCCAAAGCCACGGCTGGGCTGCAATGGGCATTGCCTCCTTGCTCCATCCCCAGCTGGGGAGCAGGAAGGAGAGAGGTCAGTCACCTGCTGCAAGAGGCTTGGTGGTGCAGTGGGGAGATGACCTGGCGTTGGGTTCCTCTTCCAGGGCAGTAGGAAAGATGAATGCTCTCCTTGCACTGGCCATGCTGTTTGCTTGGGGTAAGTGTCCTCACCTGTGCTGCCAGGGCAGCCACACCTGCATCAAACAGAGATGTCAGAGCTGTGGCTTTTTCAAGATTTCACTTCCCACCATCACTTCCCCAAAACACATAACAACCCCCCCAGATAACAGCTCCCTTGTGCTGGGGATGAGTTTCCTCTCCAGCACAGCAGGTAAGACCGTGGTGGGATGAATTGGTGGTGGAATATAGCAGGGGATACCAAGGGGATGACAAAAAAGGGGAGAAAAGTGTTTCTGTCATCACACTGATTCCCCTCCAGGCTCGTCGCTGGCTGGTGGGAGTCTGTGGCAGCTGCAGCAGGTGGTCACAAAGTTGACAGGGAAAAATGCCATACTGTATTACTCCTCCTATGGCTGCTACTGCGGTGTGGGGGGCCAGGGGCAGCCCAAGGATGCCACAGACAGGTAAGCACCCATTTAAAAATCTCCCTGCTCAAATTTATCATTCGAATCTGAGGGGTGTGGGAAGCAGGGGAGAAAATCTGAAAGCTCAGAACCCTGCACAGGTGCTGCCAGCTGCACGATGCCTGCTATGACAGCCTCCAGAAGTACCACTGCAACGCCAAGCTGCAGTACTACCAGTACAGCTGGCACAGCAACCGCCTCACCTGCAGTAAGTGGGGATGCTGAAAACGGGGCTCCTCCCTTCTCCAAATGATATGAAATGGAATCAAAACCTGTGCTGCTCGCAGACAGGGACTCGTGGTGTCCCCAGATGTCCTGTGAGTGCGACCGCAGCCTGGGGCTGTGCCTGCAGAGGAGTGCAAAGAGCCACAACAGGCGTTATCTTCTGTACCTCAAGAGCAAGTGCAGGTGATGAGCACATGCAAAGTGAAGACTCTTTGGGATTGGCCCTCTGCTCCAGATGGGTTTTGCATCTGGAGCTGAGTTCCTGCACGGACCCGCATTCGTGTTGAATTTAATCGATGTAAAATTGAAAATAAATTATGTGCTTCAATCATCTTGGTCCTCTGTGAGCTGGAGCCCAGCATTGCCCTCCCAGTGCTTCCCATTACATTCCAGATCCTCCTAGCACACACACAGTACCACCCTGTGCTACACAGAGCAGCTCAATAACCTCTCAGCACCCTCAAATGCTGCCTAAAGATCCCCAGAGCATCCCCAGTAACCTCCTTAGCACCTCCCAGTGTGCTCCCAGTGCCCCTTAGTGTTGTCCAGAGCCTCCTAACACCCTCCCAGTGGACCCCAGTCCTTGCTAGAATTCCCCAATATGCTCCCAGTGCTGCATAGCACCCCACAATAATTTCTCTATGCCCTCCCAGTGCAGCTCAGTACTGTCTTGAGCCCTCCAGTATCCTGCTAGTGCTGCTTAGTGTAGCCTAAAGGTTTCCAGTGCCTTTCCACTGAGCTTCAGCATTGCCCAAAGCCTTTCAATTAAATGCCAGTGCTCTGTGGTAATGTCTAGAACCTCCCAGTGCCCCCCAGTGCAACCTACAGACACCCAGTACTCTTCTAACGCCTCACAAAATGAGACTTTGGACACTCAGCATGGGGCTTTAGATCAACAAAATTGGGTTTGGGGAGCTGAAAAATAGGTTATGGCCCCTCAAAATGGGGCTCAAAATGGGCATGTGGAATGAAAAAAAGAAGACTCGAGCCCTCAAAATTATGACTTGCACCCTATAACTGGACTTGTGAACCCAAAGAATGACTCCCTAGACTGAAAAATTAGAATCTGGGTCCTACAAACAAGATTACAAGCCCTTAAAGTTAGTACTTGGATATTCAAAAAGGGACTTTGTAACCAAAAATCAGGATGGTTAGATCCTCCAAGTGGCATTTTGCAGTGTAAGATAAAGTCTGGGCTCAAAGAATAAAGTTCAGGACCCAAAAAAATGAAGATGGGAGGATGCCTGGGGTCTGTAGGCAGTCGAGCACTGAGAAAGTCCTGAGGGCATCTAGAGAGCAATGGCAGGGAACTGGGAGCATACTGGGAGGCTCCTGGGGGGTTACTGGGAGGGCGTTTGGAGGTCTCTAGATAGCATTGGGGGTGTACTGGAAAGCTCAAGACAATACTGGGAGACAGCAGGAGGGACTGGGCTGTTGCAGAAAGCTCTGGGAGTGTAGCAGGAGGCTACAGGGAGCAGCAGGGGGTACTGGAACGGTGCCTGGGGGTCCCCAGACGGCAGCGAGGGGCTCCAGGCTGCGTCACACCAGGCTGTGGGTTTGGCCGGCAAGGGACGGGGCGTAGCAGGACGGCGTGTGGGGACAGGCGAGAGGCATTTCTGCACTTCCAGGCAGGAGCTGGAGGAACAGCGTTTGGCCAGAGGTGAGGGATTGGAATTGGAACCGGTGCCGTTTCCCGGTAAGAGACCCCAGCCTGAGTCCGTCCCGTTGGGGGTCATGGCATTGCAGAAGTGAAAATAGGGCTGGGGTGGTGGGAGGAGGGGGAGGAGGCGGCACGCTGAGCTGTTTTCCTTGCCTCGTGATGAAGTGCTTTGAGGGGAAATCTCGGCTGAGGAGATGCTGCTGCCAAGTCCTCTTTGGTGCGAGGAGCGGAGGGACGCGAGCTGGAGGGGTGGGCGGTGGGACAGCAGGAATACGCTTGCTTTTGGCCAAGAGGCAGCAACACCGTGTGAGGGAGCCCTCCTGCCTCCCTCCCTTCAACTTCTGGAGGAATTCAACGTGATTTCAGCAGGGCAAGGTTGGCAGGGCAGTGCCTGTTTCTCCCCCAGGTGCAGCGAGAGGAAGATGAAGGTCCTGCTGATGCCGGCGCTGCTGCTCGCCTGCGGTGAGTGGAGCTGCGACAGAAAAGGAGATCCCAGCCAAACCTGCCCCACTCCAGCCGACCAGGGCTTGTTTATCTCGCTCACAAAATCCCATTTTCCGGTTGCTTCAGGCATGCTCACAGCTCGTGGGAAGCACCCACACACGTTTGCTCCAGGGCTGGAAGGAAGCACCGTGGCAAACCTGACTGCCCATGGCTGTGGCTTGGGATGGGGCCGTGGTCGCACTGCTTTCATGGACAGGTACAGCATCAGCAAGCGACAGCAGAAGGGAAATGGGATTTAGGGGAAGTGAGGCAATGCTCACCCCTTCCTGCAGCCTTGTCAAGGCAGAGAACAGCTGAAATGGATGGGATGGCAGCACAGGGCTGGGCTGAAAACCAGTGTGCAGAAAGGCTGGAGCCAGCAGCGGACGCGGTGATCCTTATGGGTCCCTTCCAACCTGGGATATTCTGGGGTTCTGTGAAAGGCTGCAGGGGGGAGCTGAGAAGAGGTGGGTGTGGGAGCAGGATGATGATTGCCCTGGGTGACTTAGTGCAGGAGAAGATGCTATGGGCAGGTTGGAGAGCAGCTACCAGCCTGTTTGGGTCAGGGCCAGGCTCTCATTCTCCCTGCAGGTGCTGCCTGCTCCGTGCCTGCTGCTACGCCAAGCTGGCCGCACGCCGCTGCCGCGTGGGACAAACCCAACGCCTCGCTGCGCCCCGGCCGGGGGTCCCTGCCTGCAGTAAGTCCCCACGGCCACGCTTTAGGATCCTGTCACTCGATGGCCTCGATAAAGTCCCCACTGCCACGCTGGCAGCTCCCTCGGTTCTTCCTACAGCCACCATCCCAGCACTGTGCTTCCTCTCATCCCATAGGCTCCGGGACGCGGTGCCAGCGAGCAGCCTGTAGGTGCGAGCGTTTGGCTCTGCTGTGCCGGGCACGCAGCCGGGCGCTGCGCAGGTGTCGAGGCAGACGCTGCTGATGGAGAAAGGCTCCTCGTAATAAACCCACCTCCATGCTGGTAAGCAAAGCGGAGCTCGGCGCAGCGCCAGGAGCGCTTCCCAATGCTCTTCTTCAGGGCTTTTTGGCTACGACAGGAGGACAACCGCCCTTTTGTGAAGCTGCGTCATTGGACACTGGGTGTGAGGAGGGCAGAGCAGATGTAATGTTTCTGCTCAGAAAAACAAGGGAGGAGCAGACACCTGTGCCTTGTCACAGCAAAGGGCGAGATGATGGAAGCAGTCTTGCTGTTGGCGTTCACCCCTTTTGGCTCAAGCTCCCCGTTTGTAAATCACTGCACGGAGATGTTGGCTCCCTCAGCTTCTTGCTTCGCTGCAGAATCTTGTATGTTGCTCCAAAATAAAACCAGAGAGCACAAAGCTTTGGTCCTCTGTGACTTCATTGTGTTCAGTGACAACCCCTAGCACTGGGAGAAGCTCATCTGTTAGTAGGGCTTCCTGCAGAGATACCCATAAAAAAACACCCAGCCCCAAGGAGCAGAGTTAAGCAGCAGGATCCAGAACCTGCTTATATTGCTGCCCACTGGTACCATCCCCTTTTCCAGAAAGGAGAAGCCAGTCCATGCTCCCTGAAGGGTGATGCATCCTCCACGGTGCTCATTGGCACCCCTCAGATCCCTACAATTCGCAGCTTTCCTGAGGCAGAGAAATGGAAGCTGCTGTGAAAGTCAGTGGGCAGGCATGATGCTGCTGCAGGAGGGCTGGCTGCCAGTGAGCTTTGCTGCGATGGGACGGCGGGGAAATCACGCTTGCCTCACAGTCAGAGCAGAACAAAACATGTTTCTCATCAGAAAAGAATGTTTTGGCCTTATTTTGCAACAACCTCCAGCATGTCCCTTATGAAAAGGCAGTTAAGGCAGCAGCTGCTTCCTCTCTCCCCAAGCATCCTCACAATGCAGGTTTTCTGCCCTGCAGGTAAATTCAGCACAGTTGATCCCATGGGAGAGTTTGGACAGTGCTGCAAATCCTGTGGGGCTCTGTAACAAAGTACAACCCCCAAAACAGTGACAAAAGTTGGTGGCCCCAGGAGCACCAGCTGCAATTCACACCCTAGCTTGTCCCAGATGTGATGACAGTGGTACTGGGAAATACTCCTTGAACAAGGAAGCATCCCTGAATAAGGAAGTATCCCTTGAATCAGAAATGCTCCCCACCAGCTGCAAACCAGGCACCCACTGCGTAGCCCTGGGGGGGCACAAACACCCACTAGGAAGGAGAGTGCAGCCCTGCGCCAAGCAGCTGCTGTTTGTGAGGTGTAAGTCAAGGATCGTGTCCTTGTCAGGATGGGACACAGAGGTGATTCAGCTGACAGGTTGCACACCAGGCTGAGTTAAAACACGCTCTCCCTGTTTAAATTTGATATACTTTTCTACTCGGACATCCAGCTATACAAATCAGCTCACTTGGAGCTCCACAGGCAGCTCTGTTAGCTCAGATGCTGCACAAATGCTGAAAGCAGCACTGGAATTGGTGCATGGGGGGGGGAAAGAAGGCAACTCCATGTAAACATGCCAAACTCATTAATTATTACCAGCAACCACAGCCAGACCCCAAGAATGTTGTTACAGCACTTGCTGGGGCACAAAGATGTGCAATGTTTAGCATCACTTGGGACTGAGCACTGAGCATCAGCAAAGCCCACAGCTCTGCATCTCATCCACATCAGGACAGCAGAAAGGGAAGATGCTTTGCATTTTTTCCCTGTCCAAGCAAGCAATCAGGGAAACAGTAAGATACAGCACGGTGCTTTCAAAAGCCACCTAAAGACGATATTGTTCCTGTTTTCCCTCCAGTTCTCCATATTTGTGCAAAGTACTGAGATAATCAGAGACGAGACTTCACTCTCATTTCCAGTCCATGTAAAAATCCCCTGCCCTCCCATCAAAGGGCATCCCGACATTTCCAAGAAAGGGAATTGCTCCTGAGCAGGCCTCCAAGATGCCAGGAGCAGCTTGCACGTGTAACGGAACAGATATGATGAGGACTGTCAATATTTGCCCACTTTGGAGAAATCAAAGGAGGAATCGTGCTGAGCAAACACACGTTGTCTATAAAACGTGCAGCTGGGCTCACACTCAGCACCCTGGGATCATCCTGCTCCAGTGCTGCCCATCACGAGGCCATGAAGCTCCTGGTGCTCCTCGTCTGCCGTGAGTATCCCATTGCATGGTGATGGGGCAAGGCTGGGCTGATGGCTCCTCTTTTTTAGTCCATTTTTAGAAGGTTCTCTTTCCAACGCCACTAACAGCATGTCTCCAGTTGCAGGGCTGGCCCCCGCGGGCTGCAACGTGGCTCAGTTTGGTGTCATGATTAAGGAGAAGACTGGGAAGTCTGCGCTGTCCTACAATGGCTACGGCTGCCACTGTGGACTTGGGGGATCCAAGAGGCCGGTGGATGCAACCGACTGGTAAGTGAGGAGGCAGAGGGGTGCTGCCAGCACTCTTCTCCCAGAACTCAAGGCAGGGTGTAGCTGGGGCAGGCAGAGCAAGGAAGAACATGTGGCTTTTCCTGAATCTTAGATCACTTGTCTTCTTTGCCTCTCTCTGTGTACGAGGCTTGGAGCTGAGGTAGCAATGCCAAAACAGTCAGTGTACCCTTAACACATGTCTTTAAAAGCTGCTCAGTAGCAGCAGCTCACATCATGCTCACCACCTTACAAAAGGAGGACGATCCCTGAACAAACCTGGGCTAATTAAGGCAGCCATTTGGTGTTACACCAAGTTGCTGAGGCAGAAAAATGGGAATGTTCAGGTGAATGAGGCTGCTCAGCAAGCACTGTGCTGCACCCCAGCACATGCAGGTTGTGCACCACCACCGTTTCCCCTCTGCTCCCCACCCTGCCCTCATCAGATCTCATGTGATACCAGGTGCTGCCATGCCCACGACTGCTGCTACAAGAAGCTGTCATCCTTGACCTGCGTTCCCCACCTCGTCCTTTACAAATTCTCCACCAAGGGAGGCGAGATCACATGCGGTAAGAGATGGCTTCCAGGGAATCCCTTCCTTGGCGTCCTTCAAACTAACCTGGCTGGGAAACCACTTGCTGGGGAGAGGGGTGGAAGTGAAGGAAAGGTGCTAGGAGTGGTGCTAACATACCAGCTGGAGCCATGGTAAAGTTGAGAGCTACAACAAAGGATGGGGGTTCTCCTTCTGTAAAGGCCAAATATTGATCCAGCAGAGCTGGACACAGAACAATTGAGGTTTTCTAATCTGGATGGGGTCATGGCGCTGTCACCCTGATTTCCTAGCTGTCCCTTGTGCCAATCCAGAGCAAGAAATACCATCTCTGGGTGAAGGGACCAAAACCAAGCACTTCCTCATGATCAAAACAAATACATATATAAAGTAAGCTAAACATTCCCTCCAGGGTCATTATTGGTTTGTAGCCACAGTTTCATGCCCCAGGGGGGAGAATGGTGGCAACAGGACTCATCATCAGCCAAGGGTTCATGGGGTGGATTTGAAAGATAACTCCAACCTCTTGCCCTCCCCTCACTTTCCTCCAGGATCTGGGAATTCATGCCAAAAAGGTGCCTGCAAGTGTGACAAAGCAGCAGCAGAGTGTTTCAAGAGGAACCTCAAAACCTTCAACAAAAGCTACCAGAATTACTTAAACTTCAAGTGCAAGGGCTCACTTCCCTCTTGCTAGAGATGCCAGACTCAAAACCTGATGGAAATGCTCTAAATTGAGATTCTCTTCCTGCAGTGAGATGGAGCAAGGCACAACTCCAACCCAAAAAGGCACTTGGAACCTCTCCACCAAGCCTGCCAGACCCTGAATTGGTACACAAGAAAAGCTTGCTCCTCAGAATTAAATAAATCAAAAAATCTTTGCAAATAAAAATAATTTTCCAAGACAATTTCTAATGTGTTGCTTCAAAACAGTGCCTGAACGGGTGGGAAAGCTGTAGCAGAGCTAATGGATCAAACACTACAAGGCAGCCAGACCACAGGTGCAAACCAGCCCTGTCCTGCTAATTACTTACTTACTAAAGCTATGGGGTACTGCCAGGGCTTTAGGTTTCCATTAAAGAGAAGACTTCAAGTTATACCTATACTTCTCCTCAGTCAAAAATCTGAACCAAACATTTCTACCAGAAGGGAAAAATGAGATAGAACCTGAGTGGGAAAGAGCTAATCAAGTCAATGCTGCCATCTAAGGTTTCTGAGTGCAAACACATTTGACTCCAGCCAACAGCAAAACATTTTTATATTTACATTTCTATGTCGGTTTGGAAGCTCCATAGAACATACAGATTATGTATAGTTTGGGTTTTTTTTTAATGCTTCTTACTTTGAAAAGAAATCATTTCATCTCTGCCCTGGTTGATAAGGTATCTCCCGTTGCCTGTTATGTATAAGTACACATGTACTTTCTTAAAGCTGATGCTCAATACAAGTCCAAAACTTGACTGAAGCTGAACCACTGCAAGCCATAAATCTAAGGCCTAGTCCTGTAGTGCTTCTACTTCAGTTCAAATTCCCAATCCTGTAGTGGAAAGCACCACAGGTTTGAGAGGAAATTAAGATTAAAATCCTACCCTAGAAAAAGCCTGATTTACAAAGAGTGAACCAGGCATAGCTTCCAGTAACCAATGCTGCCTGGAAGCTTCTTCCCCAAGACTCTTGATTCATTGGTTATACTAATTTCATTTAGAGACTAATAACTATCAAGATCCTGGATCTGGAGTCCCCCTAAAGCTCCAGAGTATGGCAAAGGAGAAGAAACTGCAGATGTCCAAGTAACAGCACTCAGCACAAACTCCAAGTCTGCTTGTATCATATTTTACTACCTTGTTTGACTTCATCAGATCAAACGTATCAGCTCTGCAGCCCCAGGAGTCCACTCTCAAATGAAAAAGAAAAGAAGAATCTCATGTTTGATAGTGTTGACTGACACTTTTTTTTTCTTTAAAGAGAATTTTGGGACTGTTCCCTTATTTTTTAAACTTAAATAGAAAAAAAAAAAAAGCATGTTCCTGAGTTGAGAATTGTTAGTATTTTCCCTGACTGTAAGGTAAAATAAATCTCCTCCATAGTAAAATGTTGCTATAATAAATCTAAGCACATGAAGAGATGAAGGCAAATCTGATGCTGCTGTGTAATGAAAATTCTCACCTTCATCATCATCACCAAGATAATGAAAAGCAGTCCTTTTTTTTTTTTGTTAGGTTTAAAACTCGTCTCTCACACAGGTTGCTGTAGGATTACTGAACAACTGTCCACCCTGCAAGTGAAGAAACAAAGTGCCTATGTGCTCAGCAATCTCCACAGAAAACAATTTCACAGCAACAACAGATGCTTGGAAGTCTGCTTAAGAGGAGATTTATCTTCATCAGTTTCCTTTGTTTTTCTCACCAACACATTCAGTCATATATTTAGAGCTGCCATGGTCTTCACCAAGGTTATTTGGTTATCTGAGTCCATCTCTTTCCTGTTGCTATCTGCACAGTTATTCCTATTGGCCAAGACCTTCTGTCGGTGCCTTTCTTCCTGCCGCTTCTTCTTCTCCAGCCGCTGCTGTTCCTTCTTTTGTTTTTTAAATACCTGAGAAGGGAAGAATAAAAACAAAGCTGAAAACAGACATTCTCTGCCCAGCTGAGGAAAAATAACACGGTGGAAAGGAGACAAGCAGATACCAAAGCAGCTGCCAGAAAATGTTTATTCCAAACTATTTATCTGAACTTTGTGTCACTGTGGGAAGAGTGCCATATGTCATTAATAAATGCTCGTCTTTGTTGCTGCTGCAGCTGTGGCTTTTCTCAAAATCCAGTAACTGGAAGTACTTTTTAATTAAAAAGAGAAAATAATTGCTGGTTAAGCAATCCTAAGCACTCCCCTAATCTTTAAAGGATGTTTAAATCACTGCCAACCCACCATGCACATACCTTTAAGTTCTTATTAGCTCGACTCTCTTCATCAGATCTAGCCTGTCCTTTGATATTTTCTGTTTCGTGGTGATGCAAATTCTGACTTCCAAAGATTCTTGAGCTGCTTCCATTATCTTCACGCAGAGTTGAGGTACACAGCTTCTGACCTTTGCTCTGGGGATCGCTCTGCTCCTCAGCACCTACCAACAACACAGTTTTTTCTCAGACACTCTACACAGAAGCTGTCTCAGTCAGCCAATTCCTTCTTCCAGGCTTTCTGGAACAGTGATTTTTTTGGAAGCTGGATCAAATACGGAAAAAGACAAAGTTCAGTCTGCTCACTTCTGTCTGCTCATGTAGGACAACATGTTTGTCACTCGCTGCAATGCAGAAAGGGGTCTCTCCATGCTAACCCAGTGACATGCTGTTATTTTTCAGAAGCATCAGAACAAAGCTCTACTGACAAATGCTCACAGGGAAGACACTACATCACAAGCAACAAAAAAGAAAAGTCAGGGTCCTTGGTGCTCAAGAACTAGGTTACACCTGGGTACATCAGGCTGTCCAGAGAATAGATCTAGGACAGAACATGCTCAGAGATGTTAAAATCTGAAAGCACAGTTATCTGGTGAGGAGGCCACAAGAATGGCTCCAGGGATTAATAAACTTACACAGAGCTTTTCAAGATTTTAGTGGGGAACAAACAGGATACAGTATGCTCAGTGTCATATTAAGAACTTAGTTTAGTGCTTTCAGCAGTCCCTGGTCAGTCTCACAACTGGCATTGTTACCAAAGACTATGCAGGAGCACAAAATCTGCCCTCCAAACTTTTCTAAGTAAAGAAGAGGCAGCAGCACAGCTAACAGGAAGCTTCTGCTGCCACTGTCCCTGCTGAACTGGTGTTTACAGTGAACATTAAGGTCAGACAGCATTTCTCTGAGGCACTAAGTGACAAAGTCCACGTACTTACTGATTCTTTCCACTTCCTGCACTTGAAAGATGGCAAATATTGCAGATTCTACGTTGTAGTCTTCCACTTTCAGAACCTGGCTTACCAACTCAATGTCCTGTCCAAGAGAATGATAACATCAGAGAGTTCAAACCAGTGACATACATCCATTCAACAGCCATCTGCACCACTGGGAGGGGGTTGCTGTTTATGATGTGTCCATTAGCTCATACTCAATTTCTTCAAGAAAATGAGGGGAAAAAATAATTAAAAAAAAATCCTGAAGATACCAGGAAAGAACAGTACACTATTTCAGCATAAATATTTCACTCTTGATCCTTTCTGTTCTCTGCATCTTCAGTAACCGCAGCATCTAATGATCATAGCTAAATTTTGTGGAGTATGGGATGTCTAAATTTAACAGAATTTGTTTTAAACCAAGGGGTTTTTTTGAGAGATTGTAAGACAAAGCTTCCAAAACTATTCACTATCCATACTAAGTGTGTATTTGATTGATTCTAGGATGCTACGCACCCTAATTTATGCCTGCAGTACTGAGATTGTCCAGGACATTTTTTTTTTCAAGGATTACCTTCACATATCAAGCAGTTTTGAATATGGAGCATAAAAAGGGCACTCATTACTTACTGAACACCCTGTTGCACTGCACACTTCTTGTACAGCAGCTTCCATTTCAATTTCAGTCTCATCTTCAGAGTCACCCTTCTGTTGCTTCATTTCCTCCTCCTTATTTGAGTTGGAGAGCATCTACAAGAAAAGCAAAGCCCACAAACATGCATTAGTTTCATCATATACAATTTGACATTACATAAGTTGGATCATAGCATGTATTTCTCAGAAAAATCAACATACCTTGGAAATTGTGCAACTTCCACTTCCCTAACACAACTTCCCAAGATTCATAAATACTCCAATGAGAAATCTCTTATATACTACAAGATCATGCAAACCAGTTAACAATCACTGGCTTTTTAAATGAAGTATTGATTTTATTATAGTTCCACACATCATACAAATACAGACAAATCCTGTCAACAGGGCAGCTTACTCTTAACAGGAAAAAGTGAGATATGAAGATTATTGCATCTGGATGTTGCATTTCCATCTGTTCCCTCCCTCCCATTTCTTTTTGTATTTGAGGTGAGGAGCCTAATTGAGATGGGGGTTAACTCAAGACTTCTACAGCCCATACATCAGTGCATCACATTCAAGACTGATTTCTAGACCAGCAATTTAAGCACTTCCCATACGGTCTCAAGAAAACAGGCAGCACTAATTAAAATGATCTTAGGGATTCTTCTATCCCCAGGATGGAACAGGGACCAAACTCTTCTCTCAATGCAAATGAGAAAGTAAATCAACTGGTAACATTCAGCTGCTACTTATCAGCCACAGCTGATCAGGTCACTCTGACACAACCAACCTCCATCCGAAGATATGCTGGGGCTTCAGAATCATCGTTGATTCTCCTCACACTGTCATAGTGCTCTCCGTGCCGATATGCAATATGCAGTTCCCTCACATTGCTTTTGTCAGTGCCTTGAATCTAATTGAAACAAACAGGCTGCAAATGAGGATTTGAACTTCACTTCAGAGTCACATTTTTCTTAGTATTACTTAATGAAGTAATGATTAACACTGTGCTAGGAAAAAAGTACGTAGTTGCTGAAGTATCTTTAAACAGGAAGCTCTGACCTAATAATCCAGATGTACCTACAGTAACAACACAGCTTCTGTCTGAAGGGTAAGATACACATCGCTGGGTCAGTTACTTCATTACAAACAAAACACAGCAGGAAAATATTTTAATGGTAAGCATAAGAAGATTTTCTAAGCTTTCTACTGAAGCAATTACAGTTTTCTGATGATCTTTTCCAAACCTGTTTTCAGTGACAGTATTCATTCAAGACACAATGCCTTTTTTCCTCCCTCGAGTGCAAGGAAAAAGAGTTTGATCAAACTGGAACTGCAGTAGAAACAGTCACCCATGGCAAGTTTTGTTCTGCAGTTGTGACAAGACAGTGCTTTACTGATTTGCATCTGAAGTGAATGCTTTGCTTAGAAAAAAAATACCAATGAAGAAAACCATGAGAATTTATTAACTCAAGAGCACCATTAATAATCAAACGCTCCTTTTGCTCTGTCAGCACCAAGCACTGCAGCTTCTCTAAGAGAACTCCCACCACGAGAATTCAGCTCCATCTATGAGATAAAAGCTAACAGCATTTCAACTCCTGCAAGGAATGCAGAATATTACACCACGTTTGCAAGTCTCCTTTGCTCACCTGCCAAGCCAGAGTTCGAAGATCTGACACCTCTGCTAGAGAAGATGCCAGTAAGCAAATGACAAAACCTGCTTGCTTTAGGGCTCCAGTTTCCCAATCCTTTTACGTCTTTTCCCAGCTTGCAGAATTTACACCAAGTCACCTTTCAACCAGGACTGCAGTCTGTGCTGCATTAACAACAGATTTCACAAGAGATATTCCCCATTCACCTTTTTTACACTTGTTCACCTCTGAGTTCCAACTCAACACTTGGTTACGTTTAACTCCTGCCTTTTATCCTATTAAGTTGTTCAACACGTTGAATCTCAGATTTGTTTTCAACATTTCTCATTTACCAGAGCCTAAATGGTTATCTAACAAATCCTGAAGCTCTTAAGACTGAAAATGAGCCAATTTTTTTGGCTGTCACTATTGAAACCTCACTGCATGCTCTCTCCAAAGTACAACGGAATTTTAAGCTAAAGGTATATGCAGATTAAAAAAACAGAAATATACTGAAAAAAGGTAAAGAGTTACCCAAAAAGCCAGCAAAATAACCCACGTGTCTGTGCTAACTTGTAGCCTGACATTTTCAGTCACTATAAAGAAAAAGTTAAAGGTCATTAAAGCCCTAAGAAGCCATCACAGGGATGCCCAACTCCACTGAGTTTCTGAGTAGGTCATAGTTAGAGAAATAGCTGCAGGGCCCAAACACTTCTCCTGTTCACATTTCTGCAGCTTAGCTGCAGTGTATGCAAATAGTTTTCTTCAAATTAAAGGATAATGCACCATCTGCTTTTGACTTGAAACCAAAGGAGATATTCACACCATCTGCTTTAAGCATCTTGCTGATCTGCTTCTCTGGAAATGCTCTCTTTGTAATTTAATCTTTCCAGTATGCTGCTGGGGCTCCAAAGTAGAGATAGAAAAGGAAAAAAAATCTATATATAGAAGTATGAAAAAATAAGAAATTATTATGACTAACATTAAGAAGTTGTCCTGGTTTAGTTGAATCCAGCAACTAGGAAAGACTGTCACCATGCTGTGATCCCCTCCAGAAGCTCCTCACACTACAACCTGCTCTCTTATACAAGTTTCAAAGGCTTACAGGCACCTTTCATTAATAAAACTCCAACCAGGCATGCAAAACAGATCCTCACCACAAACATTTACAACCTAGGAAAGGTCAGTGAGCGGGGGGGAAAAAAAAAAAAAAAAAAGAGATTTTCAAGAGGATGTACAAAATATGGGTAAGAGTTAAGTATGCTGACGTTAGGATCCGGTTCAGAACAGTAAAACATGAACAGCACTTCCACGACCTCCCCTGCAGGGTCATTACCTCCATACAGTCTTGCAGGTCAAGCAGATCAGCGTTTCTACTCATCTGTGTCACTGGCAGGTACACTTGTTAAGATATTTATATATATATTCACATATGTTAGACATCATACTGCTAATGGCTGCCATATAAACATGAATTTAAATTTGTTTGGGTTCAGGAATCCACCTGAAACTAGTTTGAATATACTTAAAGGAGAGCAGAAAGGAGCTGATGGATGACTTGTTCCAGTCTCCCCCTGTAAGAAGGGATCACAGCACACAGTCCTTTCCAGGAGCTGATTAAATGCCACCCTAAGGTTTTAAAGCTTCTTCCCCTCACGCTGTTCTGGCTCCATATATTTACTTTTCAAACATTTACTGCTATCTTTCATTCTCTATCCTCTTAACTGAAGCCTTGAGAGTTTTTCTTCAAGGCTGAAAAAGCAAGGACAGCTCCACCATGCCAAGTACGGCTGCTGAGCAGTATTTTTGTTCTCTTTTAATGGATCAGAATGTTTCAACAGTTTGTATCCATCAACTAGAAATGAGGCCAAAACACAAGAGTTTTCTTTCTCACCTGCCACAGTGGTGCATTCAGCTGATGAATAACCACATTCATTTGATTGTTCCTTGCAAAGGCCACAATAGCATCATTGCCAGCAAAGGTACCAGGCTTTGCCAAATTGGTAACTGAAGGAAAAAAAAATTCAAGAGATTTATGAGAGTTAGAGACCTGGTTTCTGACAGTTCCAAGAGCACTGCAGGGATAGCAAGTAATAAAATTTCAACAAGGAGCCCAAGAAATAAATTCTGGAAAGGAAATTCCACTGTTAAATGGCAACGCAGGGGCAAGAATCCAGCAGTGTCAGAAGTTTATGAGTATTAAATGACCACAGAGACTCCAGAGAATGCAGTACACCTTACATTATGCAAGACCATCAGTTCTGCATTAGCTCTCTGGAAAGGTGCCATGTACTAAATGACCACACTGCTTTCATGCATCACCTTCATGTCACCTGGCACAAGCACAAGGCTGTGAGAATAAAGGCTGCATTGGTCTCTGCTTTGGATCTTCCTCTAGGTTAGCACTGTAAAATATCACACGTCAAGGAGAAAGAAATCCAAGGAAGTCAGCACTCAAAGGCCACCAGGATTCTGGATGCTTCATTTTCTCAAGTGAAACCTCATGTGCTTCATATTCTCCTTGTGAAAACACCAACTTCTCACTCTTTGCTTTTTTTCTTCCCTTCCCCAAGTTCCTCCTAAATTCAAATAAGTTCCAGGACAACTCTACTGGCTCATCTTTCTACAGAAACATAATAAATGTAAACTCAATGCTGTTACTAAAGATTAGAGGCTGAACATAACATAGCGCTGGGATGAGGAATAGCTTAATAGGAAGTACTCAAATGAGATGTAATCATATCCAGAATAACCTCATCTATGAGTGTCCTATGGAAACCATACCATGTTTCTCAAAGGGAACATCATCCTCCACGAAGGGTTCAAAGTCCTCTCGCTGCTTTATCATGTACTCCACAGTCTCCTGACGATGCTTTAGGTGGTTCCGGGAGTGTCCCTCAAGCTGGTCACCCAGGGCACGAAACAAACAGTTGCTAATGAACAAGAACAAGAAGTGAGTGTGTTGGCAGCACTGCTAACAAAATGCACTATTAAACCAATGCAGAAAAAATACAGGTTGGACAGCAGGAACTGAGGTTAGAAGAACGCAGGGCAAGAATTAAGTGAACACGTCATCAGCTCCTACAGAGCAAGTCAAAAGCAGGCACAGTGCGGGGCCAAACTGTCCTGAACTGCTAAGACAAAGAGCAAAGGCCAACTCAAGGATACACGGACCAGCTTCTCAAAAGGCACGTGTCCAACCCCGTCCTCCCACGCCCCGCACAGCCGGGAAGCCCTCCGGCCAGCACAGCGCTGAGCCCATCCGTGACAGCAGACGGCAAAAAGGCACAGACCGGCGTTATCCGAGGACACGGGGGAGCGCCCGGATCCCTGCGGGGCGCAAACCCCGCTCAACCAGGAGAGGCAGCCCCTCAGCCCTCACTCCTCCGGCACTCACCCATCCCCCGGCACCTCCCGCAGCTTGAGGCCGAGGGCTCGGAGCTGCCTGGCGAGGCCCCCACCGCCCTCCGAGGGCTTCGGAGCCGTGCCCCCGGTGGGCTGCCGGGACCGCCGGGCCTTCTTGGGGCCGCCGGACCGCGCCCGGGCCGCTTGCTTGCGGGACATCCCCGCCGCGCCTCCGCGCATGCGCAGCGGGACGGCACCATCGAGAGAGGCGTTGGGGTGGGTAGAGCGCCGCCACTCTGCTCCCCCGCCCTCCCCTCCCCGGGAGGAGCGGCCGCCAGGGGGCACCGCCGGAGCGGGGCTGAGCCGTCCGAACCCGGGCTCTATTCCATCCGAGCTGGGGCACAAGCGCTCAACCGGGGTAAGCGCACGGTCGCTTTACAAAGGTATCAGGACACAGTGTTCCAGATGCTAGCAGGACTGCTGCAGTTCTGCTAGATTTATCCAGTTTTCCTTGTCCCATCACAGCAAGCTCTCCTGAAGAGTCTGTTCCCTTTTTCTTACAGCCCTTCTAGATGCTAGCCAAGGACAAAACCGAGTCAGAATTCGGACGGCTCCTTTGGACACCAGCTGAGCATTTTGTCAGTGCAGGAGAGCCACGGAAAGGCATTCTTAATTCAATCTGACCAATAAAAACCAGGCAGAGCCCACAGTCTTCAACTGAAAGGTCGTCGTGCCCCTAAAAACCTGGGGTCACCCGAAAGTCCGTCAAACATTGCTGTATCTTCTGTCAGCAGAAACAGCGCAACGCCCAAACGCTTCTCTGAAGTTTGCTTACAAAACTCTTTTGCTATTCCAGGCAAAGAACAAGCTCTTCTCACCCCAGCCACGCTCCAGCAGTTCATCAGATTAGAGTCCTCCTGGATTCCTTCCCCTTTAATTGTGGTTGTTTCAGCTCTTTCTGCTGCTCCCCCACTGTGGAGGGGCTGCTATGCAGTAGCACGGATAGCATTCGGGTGCATCTGAGGCTACAGGCTTGGTACTCTGTGTCTCCAAGCCCTCTGCGATCAGTGACCCTTCCTTTTCTACCTTCCTTCCTTCCATAGGATTCTTACTGAGAAAACTGTCTGTACTTTACCCCTCCAATAAAAGACATTTTGTTCAGGCACTCGTTTTTCAGAAGAGCTGAGAGCCACCTACCTGGGCATTACTGGGAGCACGAGGTTGTCCTGTGAATGCCAACAAGAGTCCTACCAAGACAATTTCCAGATCTCTCTCATGGGCTCTGAGAACCTCGTGGATCTCAAGTCATGCTTCAGTTAGCACCTAAACCAACAGAAGTGCTCCTATAAGAAAGAATTGGTAACAATCAGACACTGAATACTCAACATCGAGAATCACAGAAGGTTGGAAAAGACCTCTAAGATCATCCAGTCCAACCCCAACCACCCCCACCATGCCCAGTAAGCCACATCCCTGAGTGTTGCATCTCCACATTCCTCGAACACCTCCAGGGATGCTGACCCCACCACCTCACTGGGCAGCTGTGCCAGTGCTTTATTTCCTCTTTACTTCAAGTTCTAGGGCAGTGAGCAGTGCTAAAGCAAGACAGACTTGCTTACTGTCAGTCCTGCATGGAAGGTATTTGTGGTACATGTAGGTAATGTTCATTCTTGTGGTTCTAATGCCAAAAGAGAAGGAGAATAAAACAACTTACCAAGGTGGTGCAGAAAGCCAGTGCAAGAAAGAAGCAGGACAGTTTTCCTGCATTTTTGTCCCTCACTCTCTAATCAAAGCACTGCATTCAGTACACCAATTAGACAGTTCTTTGACTGTCACTGTCCAACCAGGCTGTGCTTAGAACCCAAAGAAATCACCCTTAACAAATTAAGTGCTAATTGATTAATAGTAGTAGTGCCATTCTCTCAGTCTGGCTGTCCCTGTGAAAAAAGCTGCAGTCTCATTACACCATGGGATCTCCTTCTGGATGGGAATTGCTCAGTGATAGCAGCCACTGTAAAACGTCTTGGCCATGAAGTTAATTATTAACTGGCCAGCTCATAAAAACATCACACTGTGAGAGCACAACACACTTAAAAACAGCTGTCACTAGATCATGCATACAACAGGAATAAAGGAACACATAAAAGGAGACAGAAACTTGGGAAGTCCTTCAGCTAAGGGAAGACAAACTGCACTGAGGTTTGTCTCCATGGACAAATCCATGGACAAGCTAAGCAGCGAGAACAAATGGACAGCTTCTGGAGCACCTCAGGCTGAGAAGGTTAGTCCTGCTCCCACTGCAGGGACTGCAGGAATGAGCGGAGCAGGACCCCATGCAGAAAATGCTGCTGATGTGGAGAGACTGGCATTCACTGAGGGACATTCCAAAGAAATGGAGAGCTCTCCAGGCACAGAGCTAGACAGTCCTGATGCCTTGAAAACAGCGTTTTCAGAAGAAGACGGTCTGAACTCAGCATCTCTTGCTATGGTAACAAACTCAAGCTCTCCTGAGGTATGCAGTTCTGAAAGGAACGACCAGCCTTCACCCACATCATCTCTTGCAGACATGGACTGCCTGGTCTGCTTCAACAAGTACAACATTTACCGGGTCCCAAAGCTCCTGGGCTGTCAGCATGCTTTCTGTGCAGTCTGCCTGAAGCTTATCCTCAGGAAAGAAGAGAATACCTGGATAATCACCTGCCCCCTGTGCAGAAAAAACACGTTTGTGTCAGGAGGACTTATCCGCACGCTCCCAAATAAAGAAGAGATCATGGACCTCTTGGAACACCCCGACTCATGTCCTGAGGTACACGTCTCTGGCATAGGGCTGGATAGCAGCAGCTGGGCCCAGAGCAGCCAGGACATTTTAAACAGAGACCAAACTATTCCAGCAGACAACAGACTGGCTGTGCAGAGACTTGTGCTGCTCCTGCTGCTTTTGGTGATCCTCACCATCCTCATCCTCCCATTTATATACTCTGGGATGATAAAATGGGTCATTTGTATCATGCTGACTTTGGGGTTGGTCATGTCTATGGTGCTTTGCTGCACTCCTAAATTTTATTGGCGCTGTAATGGAAGCTCACTCAGGTCCTGCCACAAGGAGACCCACATTGCTGCTATTGCCTGAAACAAGGTGAGATACCTGGAGATAATGCCTGGTTCCCCTTGCACAGCTCAATATCAGCAGCACGAGTCAGTTACTGGACTTTGAAAGCAAACACATCATAAATTCAAAGTGTCTGACATACCCCTAAGGCTGAATGGCAATGCAGAGTGCTATTTTATTACTGAAAACATAGAAAAACATTCGTATGCTGATATTTGTAAGAGAAAATTGTAAGCTTTCCTCACAGCTTTTATCCCAGATTAATAATTATTTTGTGTTGCTTTGGTCATTTTGTTCTTGTTGGTGTCATCTCTGGATTACTGTTGCAGAACATTATCTGAAACATCTGACACTGAAAATTTGTCCCCATTGCTGTGTTTTCCTGCTCTCTTAACATACCCACACCTTTTCTTGTGATAATGTGGGGAATTAGCTTGATAATCTGGGTCTGGACAACTAGCCTGAGTGGAAGAGGGTGGTTTTAACCCAGTTTATCACCTTAATCTGTATCATGGACCAAAAGGTTGTTGTCAACAGTGGAAAGGTAGGGCTGGGAGAAGGCAGTGCTGGTTATTGCCATCTTAAGTTGCACGCAAAACTAAAGGGGAAGAGGCAAAATCAACACTTCTAATCTTGAGTCCACAGCTTACAAAGGGCAAGGCTCTGAAAAGCTCATAACATTCCAAGCTCTCTGCATTATTTAGCACAGAAATGGTTCCTCTCAGCTGCACTCCTCTATCTGGCTCCCTGTACCACCTCTCCTCTTGCTCTCTTTACATTAAGTGTGACATTGCCCTTGGAGATGCCCACAATTCTCCTTGTAGAGATCAAAATAAATCTACCAATGCTTATGCTATGCCAAATCTGATATATATTTTTTATAAATATATATGGAATATATCCATTAAAGTTTAATAATGCTAACTGCTCATTGACTTCTGTGTTTCAATTCCGTGTGCCAATTAACATCAAAACATTTCACAGCTCCCTCGCTGACAGGAACTACAGCTGAGAAAGCATTCTGTGAGTAAAGCAGAAAAGTAATGCATTGGGCTTTTTTCTTTGATTAAAAAAACAAACCTGTCAAGCCCTCTCCACAGCAGTGGATGACTGGATGTTTGTAACAAATACTAACGTGAGCCTCAATGTGATGTGCATGAATACAAAAGAATAAGCTAGAAGGGTTAAAAGAAAAGCGTGCACAAATTGTGCAGAACACTGATCTCATTCAAATGGCAAGATAGCAAGGATAGAACACGCTGTCCTGAAGATAAGATGACAAAGATGACATGGACTACAGCCATAACATAGCCCAATTAAAAACTGAAGCGCAGTTTGGCCCAAGAGAAGACACTTGGGAAGAGACCAAGTGAGATTGGCACCAAACAACACCCACTCTAGAAGGCTGTACAGGTCACACCCAGTATCAGTTTGTTATCTCCAGTCACGAGATACTGATCCTGAACGGATGCTCATAGCATGCACACACACACAAGTGTTAGAAAGGAGTGTTCTCCCTCAAAACAGTCATCCTACATCTCTACACCAGCACATGTGCTGAGCAGTTCAACTGAAATGATGCTTGAGCCTTTACAGCCACTAACAGTCATCCAATTCAGAGTTCATGGATGTTGGCGGAAGTCATTACATCCTATGAGCTGAATTCTTTTACAGCAGCTATTAATTCCCATCTGACAAGATAAGACTCTATGACAATGCAAACCTTTGAAGGGGCATATAAGTTTATAGTGGAAAGCTGCAAAAAAATGTGTTTGTATTCTAAAACATAAAATGATTTGTTTCTCCTTCATACCAATCTGAGTGGCAATCGAGTTTCAGTTCCAAATTACCCTGCCTTGCTTACAGTAGCTAGGTGGGTCCTGATTTCACATAGTGATTAAATGACATAGCACAGAAATAGTTCATGGTAAGAAATGGGCCAAGGTGATGGCTGACATACTGCACAAATGAGCTGTGTTTTATATAGATGGAATGCCATGGAGACATTAAGAGCATGATGAGACCCAACAAAGTATTGTGGACTGTATAGACAGAACCCTGGACCAGGTGTTCTAAATTGCTTTTAATTGCAGGAGAACTTTCAATCCTCAAACACAAGAAACAAATCTGCAGATTTGGGTCTGAGAGCACAGATTTGTGTCCAGATGGCTTTCTGCTTGTTGTGAACCATGTGCAGATTGTGGTTACTTGGGTCAGTTTTTGCACCCCAGCTGGGATCATGGAGCCTTCTGAACCTCTCATCACATTTAAGTTCATGATGATGCCCCCAAAAAAGTACTTGTGAGAGCAAACCTGAAGGTGTAATGTTAGTAGCAAGCAAGCAGGACAAGGATGTTTGGCCAAATCAAATTTGGCTTTTCAACAGAACATATTTTAGATATTTTATTTTAGAAGACTCAAGTAGCAGATTTTTATGTATACATCAGTTACTGAGCAGCCCCAAACTTGCACAAAACGTGATCATCCAGCTTCCTTCCTCCTGAAAAAGCAAATTTTGACAAGGATCACCAAGCACTGTGCTTGCTCCACTCCACCACCGGAGCAAAAGTACTGACCAAACCCCATGAAACCAATGCAATGCAATTCAGGGAGCTGGATTAACTCCACGGCCTTAGCACAACCCTAGGATTTCTACAAGGCCAATTAACCAGAGCTGAGCAGAGCCTGCCAAGCTGATTGCACCCATAAATCTGGGTTATGGATGCTGGTGTTTGCTGATGGATCATTCTGCAGTTTGTTTAGGTAACAGACAGAGCTGTGTCTCTGGGCTGAGGAGATAAGGAAGTTCTGCTGAGTATATCAGGGAAATAGGAGGTCCTGCTTGGATTTGATTACTGCATATGTAACATACACCTGGGAAACGTCTGCATACGTAACACGAGTAATGTATATAAGCTGAAGATCCGTTGTGTAAGCTACGCATTACAGGAGGATGACCCCCATGCATCCAGCACTGCTATTAGAGAATGCTTGCTTTCTAACACTCCAACTTGAGTCTTAGAGACTTTCCCGATCGACTGATTTAAAGTATCAAGCAGCAGCCGGCCTTGTTGCCTCCTCCCCAGCCCCAGGGGGCCGGCCAACAGCGCAGGCAAACCATCACCTCAGCCCGGCGCCCGCCATCACCTCAGGTGAGACGCCGCCTCAGCGCGGCGCGCTTCCTTCCCGCCCTTCGTAAGCTACGCTCCCCGCTACGCTATCGGCGTAAGGAAAGCAGAGGGTCGCCTGACTCTGTCCATACGGAAACTGCGTAAGGGCAGAGACGGGACGGGCGGAAGGGGCGGGGGGCGGCGGCGGAAGGGAACGCAGCGCTCCGGGCCGGCAGCAGGTCGGAGCCGGGCGGCGAGAGGGGCTGGGAGCGGGCTGAGGGGTGGGACGGGCGGACGCCTCGCTTCAGGCTGTTCCCTGAGAGGAATGTGGCGGTGTTCGAGGGCTGCGCTTCTCCTCAGGGATTGCTGCTGTCCCCTCAGCGCGTTTTCCCGCTCAGCGTTTCTCTTTGCCTCTCCACAGTTCCGGGGTCCTGTTAGGATTCCTCCTTTCCCAACAGAATTGCAAGAAACCGCATCTCAAGAAAACAAAAAGCGTTTGTGTGTTTGTGAGAAACAAGCGCTGCAAATGATTTAAAAAAAAAATCGCTTTCAAGTGACATTTCAGATGATGGCAGTGCTGTAAGTTGCTCGTTGTAAAGTCATGAATTCAGTGTCGTGAGTCGCGTTGTAGAGTCCTGAATTCAGTGCCACCAGCTCTACAACCCCAGCATATTTTCCCTTTTTTTCCCGTTTTCCTTAGATATTTATGAAGAAATCGATATCTGTGTACTGCTCAGAGCTCTCCTTGACCGAAGAGGTGACAGAAAAGGGCCAAGCGAAGCTGCCCTTCTAAACACTCAGCATCACAAATCACTGTTTATTTCCAATGCTGCTTCCCATAATAAGTTAATACATCTATGTTCAGAGGTGAGTGGACATGCCAGGTTATTTTGCATAAAGTTATTGTGACTGTGTTCCATAATTTCTAGGCAGTTGTGTCGAGTCAGGCTCTGGATGCTTTAGGAAGATCAGAGCTCAAGGAGTGGTGTGAAATGGATTTCGGTCACCCACGTGAGGGCTTTGGAGCTGCTGAGGTAATAAAAAGTCTTGGGATTTTGGCAGGGGGTGAAATCCTGGAAAGCATGGTGGTATCTCACTGTGACTTCAGAGCCGAAGCTCCAGGCATAGTGCTGTGTGCTGAGGGGAGGTACAGTGCCACCTGAACCAGCACTAATCCCTGGTGGAGCATCACCTGGCCCTCCCCTCCTCTGAGTGTAACACAAGGAACACCGTTTATTTATTCCTGAGGACTTTGTGCTCCCGTGTCGCTGGAATGTGATGTTTCCATGGAAACGTGCTGAGGTTCCTCAGACCTGTGTGCTCAGGGCATAGACAGCATCAGGAGATGCTTGCTGCGGGGAGGCTGAGCTCTCCTGGGGACAGGCATGTGAGTTACAGCAGTCCCCAGCCTTTCAGTGATGAATGCGTGTTGGTTTATACACCAGCAGTTACATAGTGCAAGCCTTGAGGAATATGAATAGCCTCAAATACATTTCTGAGTGAGACAGCAAGACAGACAGCTTACCTGGAACATCATGACAGATGGCATGGAGATAATACAGTCTCTACAAAGAGCTTCTCCTTTGCTGCACTTCTTTCTTCTGGAATTCTAAACTACCCTGTAAGTGGTACCTGAATCTTCTGAGATTGAGTGCTTGGTTAATGCTGTTACAGCAGGTTGTCTCCAGTTCCTATCAGCGGGGTTCAGAGGAAAGTATCCAAATAGCAAGCACAAAATGGTTTGCCATTTGTGATGTGCCCTTTGGAAATGGATTGAGTCTTGATGTAGTCAGTAGAACTTTCAGGTTATGTAAGTGAGCTTTGGAGCAGACTTACTGATGTTCGGTTGTGAAATGTGCTGCTGTCACCTATGCCTGATTTCTGTCCTCTCTGCTAGCTGCTTGGATTAGCAGCCAAGACTCCCTGTATACTCAGTGAGGCTCCCAGAAGCCCTTTGGAGCAGTTCATTTGGAAGCGTGTGATCACAAGCTGCTTACATTTTGGTGCTCTGAAAACAATATTTTGGCCCAGCCTAAGTTCCATGTAGCATGGGCATATTATGTTTAAGGAAATGTAGTGCTGGTTGTATAGGTAAGATTATACTATAAACATTACTATATAGCAATGGCCTTGGGAAATAAGTGGTTCCATTAACAGTCCTAATCAGCTGCAGCTGGACTCAACTTTCTTAACACTGTCAGCAAAATGAACAGAGAAGCAATTTGAGTTGGGGATGAAAGAAGCAAATTATTTCCCAGGCAGCCATACTGGTCCTTGTGCCAGGTGCAGAGCTTTTATTTTTTCATCTCTTTTTGCAGTAAATACGTGAATAATATGCCTGAATGGAGCCCAGTCTCTTTGCATCTTGAAGTAGACTTCTCCTTTTGAGAAGTATTGTTGATTTTGTGCAAAAGAACTAAGAACTGGTGAACAGAAAGCCTCCTATTGTCTGTGGTCACGGCATCATGTTGCAATGAGATACACAAGTTGGGCTTTGACAGGCCTGCATTGCTACAGACCAGCAAGTGTGGCAGTGAAAAAGCAAAGGCAATTTGTTTCTTCAGTTTCTGGTTTCCAGTTCTTTTGTTATTTTTTCCCTTCTGTTTTTTTCTTCTTTGAACTTGCAGGTAAAAATGGCTGCAGAAGAGAGGTGGAAAAGTTCGGCTTCAAAGCAGCATAGTGGGGCTGAAGAAGGAGGAGAAAAGGAATCATGTGTGCTGCTGAGCCAGCAGCTGGGTGAACCAGGAAAATTCACTTATGCAGCACTCTGTGGGGTATCCCTGGCGAGGCTGTTCCCTGAAGAAGAACAAAGGTACTAAATGTGGGCACAGGGAATGAGCACAGGAGGTGGCTTTTGGAGCAGCTCACACCGAAGTCGTGTCAGTCAGTGTTGCAAGTGGGATGGATTGGGTTTAAAAAATAAAAAAAGAAAGACTCAAGCATATCCCAGGGAAGCAGGGACCACTCAAGGCTTGCAAAAATACTCTGTTACAGGGCCTCACCTGCCTCTGTTGCCTTACAGCTCTTTCAGGACAGAATTCATTGAGGGCTTGGTGAAATGGCTGGACCTGCCTGATGCTGTCTTGCCTGCCATGACAGCATTTGCTAGTGGCTTAGTAGGTGAGGGCACAGAAACTTTTCCCCAGCTTTTGCTGAAGGATCCCACCGTGAAAGATAATCCTGTTGTCATTACCCAGGTAAGTTCATACGTTCCCCTTGCCTCTGGTTTTGCAAAAAAAGATCTGTCATACTTGCCTGTTTGTACAGTTAGGGAAGTAAATCAGAATCCTGATATGCATTTTCTTCTGTGCAGCTCTGTGGGTGCTTAGCAGTCTATCCATTCACAACATGTGGAAGTGATGAGCATGAGATGCAGTTACTGCTGAATTAACATTTTCTGTCTTTGATGCCTTTGCCTTAGAGAGAACTGTCAAAGCTTTTGCTTTGACTGTATTGCTGCAATCTTTTTTACACACATGGGCGTTCTGCAGATTTTGGTGAAACAGTGAATGTGAGAGGTCCTGTTTTTCATTTGAGAGCCCCTTTCCTCTTACTGTGAGCAAGGGGGATTTTGGAGGAGCAGGAAAATGTGTCTCTACAAGGATACACATTAGTGCATCTAATACAGAACACTTCTACATACATGACAAAGCTGCATAAGTAAAGAGATGATGGAAGTGTTCCTTCTTGGCCATGATGAATTCCCTTTATTTTTGCCTTCTTTTGTGTCTCCTAGCTGGTTCATAAAAGGCATCAGAGGATGTGCTCCAAACATCAGTATGTTATAATGCTCAAAATATTATAGCAACCCCACTACAGCGACAGAGATTAATGAGCTTAATCAATTTAATTAGTAAGTTTGGACAGATCTGAAATAAGAGCAGCTGTTTTTATATATTTTTTTAATTATTTTGTTTGCTCAAGATCAGTAAGTGTACGTTCAGTTCTTTCTGTGTTGAGATGACCTAGCATTTCCCAGGCTTGTTTCCCTAGCTCTGTCTACTCCAGGATGAATTCTCTAGAATTAGGCTGCTGCATTTAATAAGAGCGAAATTTTGGCAAAATGTAACTTGTGCTTGCTCCAAGTTTATGTTGTGTCAGGTCTCCATGTGCTTTTACAAAAGTCTCTGGATCCTCAGAGATCACAATCTCTGGGATTGTGCAATATTTTGTTATGAGAACGGAGGCACTTGCCATGGTTCCTTGTGGAGCACAGAAGCCTTAGATAACAGTTCTTTGATTCGTTGAAAGCAAAGATCAGTAATAGCTATCAGCCTAATGCCTCAACAGTTGGACCTCATGCAGTCCTGTGAGGTGATCAGTGTTGTCAAATGAAACATATAATTAAAGGTTGCTGCAGGGAAAAGCATGAGA